TCTCTCTCTGTAACGACCATACAGGTCACTTTCAATAATTTTGCCTCAACTCTCTCCTAATATATTTTTCACGTGTTTATGCGAATTACCTTCTTGGCATTTGTCCCAAGGAGTTCCTAATCTACATCCTTCGTTTTCTGTGTAACATGAAAGGGCTCCTTGCACTGCAAGAGTAGTTCATTTTTGTCACTGTGTAATGACACTAGAGCTCTGCCTCGAGGATTCAGATGCTTCGCCACGGCTTTCTTGTTGTAATATTCCTTATACCGTTCCCTGGATTCCCTCAGGCTTTCCATTGCTAACTTTCATGTCTTTTCAAGTTTCATTCGCCGTTCTAACTAGTATGTATACTTCAATTTAAGGTCATTGTCGGGCACTGTTAAGGTCATTGTCGGGCACTGTTGTCGGGCTCTGACCGTGCGACCATACAGCATCTCGAAAGATGAAAAATGTAGGTTTGCTTGCGGCACTTCCCTGTATGCAAGCAATAAGCAAAAATGCTGGCAAGTAGCGCTCTTAATCTGCTGGTCTTTCTTGTCACGTCTTTTTCACTATTTTCTTAAACATGCCGTTGAATATTTTAACCAGTCCAACGAACGTGGGATGATATGGCGTAGTGAGCATCTGATGAACGAATAACGGTCTATTGAACTCTTTCATGAGTTCAGATGCAAAATTTGACCCTCTGTCACTTGGTATTTCTTTTTGCAGACTACATCAAGAGAATATATTTATTAATTCTTCGGTGACAAGTATTGCATATATACTTTTCAGTGTGATATGTTCTGGATATCTAGTCGCCATGTCAACCATCGTAAAAATACATCGGTTCTTTTTGCTTGAAGCTGGTGTAATTGGACTTATCATGTTTATTGCTACTCTACGAAGCGGTGTCTCTACTATAGTGAAAAAAGAAACAGAGCGAAAAACTAGAGGCCAGACGAAGAACACAAACAGAGTGCTGCCTAACTTTATCATGTTTCCCAAGGAGGCCCGGGCTACCTGTCATTTGAAAAACATTCTTTGGCAAACGTCGCACGACTTCACAAATCTCTTTACTTTGCTCTGTAGGCTCGGCCAAAAGAAAACTTTAATGATCTATACCAAAGTTCTTCATATGCTTTGGTGGCCAGCCATGATACTGTCGTGAGCCAATGTAAGTACCACTTGTCCTATACCTTCCGGCACGAGCAATCGCAAGGCTTCTCTTCCCGACGCAAAACAACTACACAAAAGTCTGCGTAGTCCCTGCTACTCGTGAACAGTCCAGCCTTTTCTTTTCGGGGCGTGTATCTTCGTCTTTCAAAGCATTCTTGAAGAACGCATCTTATTTTTGTACTTCTACAAACTCCTTGGGCGTAACCTTCAGGGCCTCAACTGTGGGCACTTTCAGCGCAGCTAACGACCACTGTGTTCTTCTCTGATATACTTTTGTCATCAACGCTCAAGCCATTGCTTGGATGGGTTCTCTTTCATCAATTTGGGAGCTTTATGGCTGACTTTGTGCTAATCGTGAATTTCCGATTCTCCCTGAGGCAATGTTAGTGCTCTTCCAGCTGTACTCCTCTATAATGGATCAGGATTTTCCACTTTTCTGACGCGCTGTATATTACCCAATATGAGGTGTAGAGCACTTCATCGAGACGCTTAACGGTAAACCAACCGCTCTATTAAGGCGTTGAACCCCTATCTTGGCCTCGGGTAAGCGTCGCACTGTGCTGTCGACTAGCGTCACAGACGTGGGTTCACCTATAAATTCCTGTATGCGTACCAAACTGCATCTCACCAAATCTCTGTCGGCTCCGCTATTTCGAAAACTGTGACTTGCGTTCCGTGATCCTCTCCATGTACAACCGGTAGATAAGGCCCACCTTCCTTATGCTGAGCGTCTCCTCGTCTCTAGCAGTTCAGTCAGCTGGATATTTCTCAGCCGATTTTGTCATGCGAGCTTTACATACTGCCAAGGGACTACACGCTACACAGGCAGCTTCGCCATTGCTTCATATTCTGCAGTCTATGGTGCGATGGCCTTTCGGTGTACAGTGTTCCGAAACTTTTGTGTATTATTGGTCCTCTCCTCCAAAACAACAGTTCCGAGCTCAATGACCGACATGGTTACACAAGAAACACTTAATAACTCTTGATGTACCAGCCGTCATTCCTTCCTTTGCACCTCTCTCTACTTTAAGAAGCTTTTGCTTTGATTTACTGAAATTGTTGGAGTCTTGCGCTACAAAAAATTGATCAGCACACTCAGCATAATCATCAAAGCGTTTCATAACTAGTTCTTTAAGGGAAACACTAAAGTCTGGACAAAAACAAGTGAAAAATCGGTTGATTAGGATTCTATCTAGCACACCTTCATAACTCTTGCCTGTGTTGGACATTTCCATTTATCTCTAAATATAATCAGTCAATCGGCAAATGAACTGTTTTCTCTCTCAGAATGAATTGACTTATAGCCTTCATTGTCGAACCAGAGCTTTTTTTTTTACTTTTTCGCAGTCCACAGAATCAGATGCATGCATTCTCCCGAACACGCTTGTTGATTCGCCTACTAAACATAGAGTCGTTGCTGTTGCCCACTCGCTTCTCTGTCATTCTTACCCCAAAGCGATCTTTTCAAAACAATGCAGATCTGCGTCTAAATCACCCCTTGTTTCCTCAAAGGGAGCCATTAGCTTGCGCTGACAAGTGCTCTTAGCTCTAGGAATCTTCGGTTCGACAGAAACGGGTTATTAGTACAATCGCCTCTCGAGCAAGACGCGTCCTTTAAGCGCAAATTTAAGTATCTCTTTTTTGGCTTTTCGCACCTCGCAAGCTTTCTTCTCAGCGCGCTCGAACAACGTTAGCGACTCCGCTTGGCTGAGTCCCGATGACGTCGCGTTTTCCGACAATTTTTAGTGATCCATTTTTCTGTTACGTGTGAGACCAATGAACTTGGAGAAACATTTTGGCAGGCTCGTCATTATTTTGTCGTGGTCTCTAGATGGTAAACTAAGCAGAAACAGTTCAGATGATGAAAAATGCCTTATGTGACAAGAATTAATCAATGCACAGAACAAGTAGTGAAAACCCAAGAAGTAAACGAATGTCCCCAGCACACAATGCCCCAAAACACAGGAAACGTATTTACAGTTTTTGCGCTGCTTGAGGTGGCTTCGGTTTCCGGTCGAAGTCTCGTCAAATCCATGCACAAAAAGTTTTCTAGGAGTATTACCGTTCGATTCCTCGTCGGCGCTGCTCAGTTACCCGCAGTGTCCGGTAACGGTTGCGTCAGGTACAGATCGTGGCTGTTTCGCTTGTTCTCAAGAGTGCAGCCCACGGAGCATATCCGCCGAACCGCTGCGCCTCTCTAAGCAGCAATGTCTCGCTGGGCTGAGCTGATCGCCCTCCATGTCGTGCTCGAGGGCTACAGTGTGGCGCTGCGAAGACTGGGGCACTCTACCAGGAGCTCTGCTGACGACTTTGCAGCAAACGCCTTGCCGCGACCACAACACCTATATGTCTCTTGCCGTTCCACACCGCTCTTTTCCCTCTCTGTCGGCCACATTATCTTGTTGTTGTTCTTGTTTTCCTGTGCAAATGGCTCGTAACCAAAGGAGGGGATTGGCCAATTATAAGGTGAATTTGCTTTATGCTTTCAGCATTGCGTCATTCCTACTAAACATTTGTAACTTTCCCTCTTGGCTTCGGGGTACAATCTTCTTTATTCTATATGTCCCGCCACGGTGGTCTAGAGGCTAAGGTACCCGGCTGCTGATGCGCAGGTCACGGGGTCGAATCTCGGCTGCGGCGGCTGCATTTCCGATGGAGGCGGAAATGTTGTAGGCCTGTGTGCTCAGATTTGGGTGCCTGGTAAAGAACCCCAAATGGTCGAAATTTCCGGAGCCCTCCACTACGGCATCTCTCATAATTATATGTAGGTTTTGGAACGTTAAACCCCACATATCAATCAAATCATCAATTTTTTATTCTATATATTATCGTTGATACCTTTTTATTTTATTTGCTCTTACTCCTGTTCTCTCTCTTTTTCAAACAATTCACATACGCTTGACAACGTTACTGTACCTATTCTTTCAAGGCCATCTTGTGGGTGCATAGCAAGTTCGAAAAGATTTTATACGCTTAGTGTTTGAAGTACGCAATTTTAACAGAATACCATTTTCGCATCGAACGTTTAACGGGGAAGCATAAGGGGCTCCCGATTTTTGCTACGCTTTGCAATATCTATCTCAATGGGTGCTGTTTCAGCTCTGGGACACTCAATATTGTGAATATACTTTAACATTCTTATAGACTTCACTGGCACCTTTCAAATGTGCGGCTTATTTCCAACGAATAAAACCCTACATTTCCGATGTGTTATCTAAACGAGGAAGAAAAAGGGGAAGTTCCGGATTACGAAGGCGAAAATTCAGATGAAACCTTTAGCATTTGAATTTAGATTGTTCTAGTGCGAAGGCCCTTCCCTTTCTATTGTTGGATTGTACTTACCTTCACGCCATTCGTTATATTTGGGCAACTCACGTCGTTTTGAAATGTCTCCGAGATAGGCCAAGCACTTACCAAGTGACCATGTGATCACATCATTATGTGATGTTCAGTTATGTGACGTCAGAGAGACGTCCTAATGACCTCATCGGGTAGCAGCCCCGTCGGATGTCTCTTCACATCTCCAGAATTGACGCGAACGTTGACGATAATTTTTCGCGTTATTGTTAGGATTCTGAGGCTTTCGCTTAAACAAAGACGCATTTGAAATGAATGTGCTTGAAAAAGCGTGACCATGAGCTGTGGAAGCTGTGAGCCTGTTATATGACGGTCACTTCAAAAGCAAGGAAAAACTTACATAAGATTATCGCTGTTCTATGTGTCAGTGATAAGTGCGCGTGTTGGGGCGAGAAACCCTGCCACTAGTTCGGTACACTGCTGAAGTAACAAAAATTGGTTTCTCGGACAAGGGAGACAGTAGAATCAAAATTATTTGCGAAATATTGCTGGAGAAATCTTCTTTCTAATTTTACTTTTTGGCAATAATTTTTCGCGGTTTCGCACCAATTATCCTGAAAACATTTCGAACTATGTTATCGCGCTCATTTCTTATCACTTATGCCATGGATTGGGGCCTGTAAAAGTGGACAGGAGACTCAAGCCGCCGTCAACTGGCATCGTGATTCCCGTGACGAAAGAAGCTTCTTCAGAGGCCAGAAATGCTATACAGCGAGCAACCTCTTCTGGCCTGCCGATTCGACCAAGTGCGTGCGCTCCACCGGCCATCTCCTCCAGACTCTGCAAAAGTAAGAGCGATGTGGCGTGGAATAATCCATATTCAAATCAAAGAACTTGTTAGGTCATTCAGTGTGTAAGGTTAACGCACTTGTTTAGAAGAGCATGACACAGTCTCGTCTATTTATAATATATCCTTAAAGGTAACATCACAATACCCGAGAGCCCGCATACGTGAAATATGGTCCAATACTCAGGTTATTCAAATAACGGAGTTTTACAAGGACTGGTCAAAGTGAAAGCTTACTGCAGCACGAGTTTGATTTCTTCTGTATCGCATACGGCTCAAGTACTTTTAACCCGTTTGGCTCTTATTTTGCTGCAAATGCACATTTTTCACCATCCGCACTAAGCAATATTACTTACCAGCTTGCTGTTTATTTGGTTGTGCAGAGATCACGCGTATTCCTAGAGATGCTTTCACTAATGGTACTTTTGACAATGAACCATTTGAAGTAGCTTTGCAAATACTCCGAAGCCCAAAACTCTGTTCTAGCCGTATATATGTCTGTTGTCTATCTTTCTCAACAATGACGAATTTCACACTGTGGCAGCCTTAAAGCTAAAAAAAAGATTCTGCAGAATATATTCGCGATAGAGCCCTTTAATTAGAAAGTCGGACCGTAAGGGCGCCGCAGATTGCCACCCCTACACTACACTGTGAAAGCTACTGGCCCCTTTAAAAGCTTGCTGGACTGTGGTAGCGTTGGTCTTTCTTCGTAGGTAAAGAAAGTGTGGTCCCGTAAAATACGCTTCTAAGCAGGTGTCGATAGAGTACATTTGATGGTACAGTGCAATTTACAAAACACGCTATTAGTCGCCACCTCCAACCAAAAAGAATGATGTGGCGCTATCAGAACTGTGTGTAAATACTCCTTCCTGCACCACAACTCCTGTGCACACCAAATTATGTAACTAGCATTGAAGCTGTCTTCAAGTCTGGCGTGGTGGGTTAAAAGCTCGGCTGCTGAACCGTGATGTCAATCCCGGCTGCGGTGGGTACATATTATTGGAGGGGACATGGTAGAAGCGCATGTACTGCGTGATGTTAGTGCACGTTCCAAAACCCCGGTTGGTTCCGATTTCCAAAGCCTCCCACTATAACATGCGTCATATTCATATCGTGCATTTAGAACCTAAATCCCCATATGGTATGTAAACAATTCCTAAAAACAATCTAAGTAGGCATCAAGCTTTGTATGAACGTCTTTGATGCAAACACGTGCCTATGTGTAATCTACATTACCAGTATTGCGTTGATACATACTGCCAGTAACCGTGTGTAGCCTCAATATAGGCCACCATGACAGCGGTGTCATGGGCCTTTATGCGTTGGCAGCACTTTTACTTCTCGTGAAGTCCACAAGCTGCTCTCTCACGAAATTCCTGTCTCAATACTTATTCTAATGTTCCTCTCGTTTCAATATGTAGAAAAATTTTAAGTATATGTAAAGGTGTAACTTCCTGAAACCACAACAATTTTAATCGACTCTTCAAAGAATGGACAGTGAAGGCGGCAGTATCTCATTCTTTGTCGTGCGCACCAATGAAATTACCTCCCATATCTAACAGTAACAGTCGTATCTCCAACTTTTCTATAGCAACGGTCACGATCAGGTGGATGATTATGTGGAAGATGCAGCACGAATGTCATCCAGTCTTTCCTTTCTGTCTAGTTTTTATATGTTAGGTGGTATCTTCATGGGGCCGGGAGGCGAAAAATACATTTTTAAAACTGTCCCAGCGACTCAGAAAATATTTTCTAGGTGGCAGTGCGGGCGTCCCGCGACTGCAAAGCGCAATGAATTCTTATTTCATGGTTCAATTGATTGTGAATTGTGAGCTTTGTGTAGACGTATTTTCTGCATGTTTTAAAAACGCGACACTGTAAATGACTTACGTCACCCACAAAAAATTAGGATGTGAATGGCAAACAAAATCAAAACCATAATTGGTTCTTATTTGACGCACCTTGGCGGCTTTTGTATTTTCACAGAAATTCAAGAAAGAGGAGGAGGAAAAATGTTTATTTATCAAAACGGTGTTTTGGTCTCTCGTACAGCGTAGCCTATCAGAAGTTCGCTTTCTTTGGGTCCCCGGGCATGCTGGAATTGTACGAAATGAAATTTCTGATCCGCTCACTTCGGCATCTTGAAAATTCCCAGTGGTGCTAGTAGCCCCACAGTTTCCTTTTATTACTGCCGAACGATTCAAATGCCTGTTAATCCTAAAAATCAACGAAACGTCTCTCCTACAATCTGAAGAATTTCGGCACTTGCAATTCACTTGGAACACCGCAAAATGCCTTTCCCGTCAATGTGAGGTGCCCCTCACAAGCTTTCGCTGTAGAGTTCCGCGGTTAAATTTTTATCTCAACAAATCAGGATTTTCATTAACTAACCTATGTGCAGTTTGCAATGAACCGGAAACAATACATCACTTCCTTCTCACATGCCGCCGCTTCGCCTCACTGCGACGAATAATTCTTGAAATAGTGATTGGTATGCTCAAATTGCCAGTCAATACATCCACCCTGTTATCGTTTGGAGCCAGTCAGTTGGGTGTGGGCCGCAGTACTATTCTGTCAGCGCTACATAAGTTCATTCAGGCAACTGGAAGAATACGCTGCTAGTGGTACTGCCAGATATATCCAATTCTTTGTCCCCCCTTCCTCATTCTCGTTAATTTGTTTTATATATTCTGGTTTATCGAATTCTTCTGCACTTTTTCACGTTTTTTTAAAGGAACATTATTATAGTTATCAAATTTCTCTTTCTTTTTTTAGCGAGCGTTCTGAAAATATCTATTATAAGGTACAGTGTGGTCAATCGCCGATGTGGGTATGAGCCAAGATCTCCTAGGCGACAAGACAAGACAAGACAAAACGGTGTGGCGGTGTAGGTTCGGCGTCCACCTTAGGTGAAAGGTTTCTTCATTCCAGGAACCCCCTGGCCTTCGCTGTCTCCTTGGTGCTTCAAAAGTTATGTTAAATATAACCTTTTACGGGCGTAAAAAATCCCAGAGAACATTTTAAATGTCGACAGCTGACTGGACCAACACAAGTAGGTTTCAATTGCGGTGTATGATGCTCTCTCCTACGTTTTTTCTTGCGCACTCATTTCAGCAGGCAGTAATAGCCTAATGTGAAAAAATTGAATCCTTCCAGATGATGTGCGGAAGTGATTTTCCTGAACCGCATTTCATGCAGAGATCGTCTGCAAGCTGTGTTTACCATAGTGGGGGGCCGATCTTGCGGCATCTTTCTTTTATTGAATTCTGAGGCAGCCTTTTAGCCTTGCTGCGAATGTGAGCAATGTATGCGATCTTTTTGTGAGCTTCTCTTGTTTGTTTCTAAAGTATGGCACATTTTTAATTTCGCATGCGTGGTACAATCGCGTTACGCACAATTACGTGCATATAAATCTTTAGAGCGTCAGTTACATATATGTCTGCGACTTTCCTCGGACAAGTTGTGTACTGTTCCCAACAATTAGAAAAGTCATCATGAATTGTATGTTAAACAAAAATATTATTGTTTCTGTATATTTCTAAAACGCATTACAATTTTCCAGTTGTCATGTTTTTCCAACGCATAATTTGTACATCGCTGCACAGCAGTTTTTTTATGTGTCTACGCGTGAAAAAGTTATTGTGTGCTGTCAAATTCTGAGGGAGCGCAGCTTCTGTCTATCCCCTAAATTAGCGGATTTTCGCTCCCGTCCTAGCATTTGCTTTGATAAATGCTGAAATGTCGAATCTTAATCTGAATGCGACATCATAGTCACCATGATCAGAACCAATCAGAAAAGAAGTGGCACAGCTGGCCCTTAAGTAACGCAGTCTGAGTCACAGCAGAGCTGATGGTTCCTTACTTGGCTAGGCTTTTGTGAGCCCTCTTACCTTTCTATTTTCCACAATTCGATAGAGTATATTTCACATCGACATCCTTATTTTTCTCTTCCGCTTTTCCTGTACTAGTTTTCTCGCCCATAAACAAAGTCACATCCCGAGCCGGACAAATCGGTGCATCTCATTAGGAGCGAAGGACGAAAAAGATATGAGGGCAACGAAGAAGTGGACGAAGTGAGCGCGTGTCTAGTGATGATGGTGATTACTCTCTGTGTACGAAACACGGAAAACTGTACTATCGACAATTTACAAAAGATAAACTATCCGCGACTTTAAAGAAATTTTACGCGGCTCATGAGTTATTCAAACTGAGACTCTGTTGCCCATCGTCAGTATTGCCTTCCACGGAGGGCAAATTGGTGAACGTGTATTGGGAGCGAAACAGAAGAGGAAGGAGAAGATTACGCTGAAGGAAATAATGAAGCGAGTGCAAGCCCACTCATGAAGATGATAGCTTTCCAACGCCACAGGCAAAGCATATTTCATACACTGTACAGTACATGTCTGTGCTTCCACTATTTTGGATCATCCCCGCTTTTTGTCTGCTGATTTCTTTCTGTGCGTATTTTTTTCTCCCTTTTTCCGACATTTAACACGAAAACGTTTTATGCCGGGGTCCGCCACGATTTCACTGACGTAATTTCGTCACCAATATAACGTTTCAAAATATACACAAAGAAGAAAAGAAAGCACCAAAAAGAAACAGTTCTATCGCCAGGACTCCAACCAATGACCTCTACCTCCTCAGTGTGGAGTGAAAATCAACTTGATCACAAAGCCTACGTTGTTAAGCTTGCAAACGCAAGCTATTTATATACACCTTTTGCTTCGGTCGATACTCGGGAATTGGTGATTTAGGCGTTTTGTTCTTATCACTTGCGAAAAGGTGCGACTGGCGCACAGGGCGTGTTTTAAAGGTCGTCGATGCACACGTTGCGACGTGGCCTTGCCTCTAGCGTGCGCGGCCGCTTATGCGCGCGCGTTTGGTTCTTGAACGGGGTGTTTGGTAAGTTTTGGGCATTCATGAAGCGAGTGCGCTGAAGCTACAAAGAGCACTTGCTCCAGCGGTTACACTTGCGAAAGCGCAGCGTTCT